ATAAACATTCCAGAAGAAGAATAGTTTACTTTCGCAACACGAAACTTAAATTCGAAACGCGAAATGACTATCGCAACGCGGAAATGGCTATCGCAATGCGAAATGAAAATCGTAACGACAAAATCGCAATGCGAAATGAAATCGCAACGACAAAATCGCAACGCGAAACACAAATCGCATTGCGATTTTTGCGATTTCATTTCGCATTGCGATTTTGTCGTTGCGATTTTCATTTCGCATTGCGATAGCCATTTCCGCGTTGCGATAGTCATTTTCGTGTTGTGAAAGTAAACTATTCTTCTTCTGCAAATTGAAACTTGAATGGATTGCATTACTTCAACCAAAAGACAAAAACAAAACCAAAAACAAATACTAACAAAAACAGTTTAGCTGTATTGGCAGCAACCGAATGAATTACGAGTATGAAAAATCTTAAACTTACCTCGTTGCGTAGAGTATGAACCTCATTCTGCAACGATGCTACCATCTCACGTAGAGCGGCTACCTCACCGCGTAATGTAGACACCTCAACACGCCATGCACCATCGTCTTTGCGTAAAGTACCGACCTCCTCACGCAAGGCATTGACCTCATCACGTAACTCCCCTAACTCATCCCGTTGAGGTGGAGATGGAGAACAGGGAGATAAACGTCGTGGCATCTTTGCCGGTCGCCTATCTTGTGGTGATGGTGGAGAAGAGGCTCGATGATGTGACATAATAGGTGATGGCTGTCGTTGTGGAGTTGTATAGCCGGGTCGATCAGATGATGGCTCTGGGTGAGGTGATAGCTCTGGGCGAGGTGATGGCTCCCGAAGTGGAGGCTGCTCATCAACCGTTCCATAAAAAAAACGCTTACTAGCTTGCCACCAATCAGTGGCAAGCTCAGCTTCCGTGGGTGTCAGCCTCTGTAGAGGAGTGTTGGCCTCCTAACAATATAAAAGCTCAAACAAAGTTAAACGTGTACTAGTAATAACTTGTTTATAAACATATGGTAGTATTTATGTTAACTTACATTATTTATTGTCGTATACCGTAGTAAATCTTCCCATTGCAAGGTTCGTTTCCTCTTCCAGGAAATAGCCCTGGGAATATCATTTGAAGTTTTTATTGCATATGTCTTCATGGCGGGAAAGGCCTCAAATATCCAAATCTACAAACAATATAATAACAAACATTAGTAATTGTTAAATAATTACTTATAATTTTGGAAACATCATATAAAAATTCTTACCTTAAAGGCCCAAATAAAGCCTGTCAAAGTGTATTTGGAACCATCGCCATGCAAACTTTTTCGATCATCCAAGGCAGACGATAACTTATTCCATGTAGCTTTCCATAAATACGAGCCCCACGGAAACAGGTTCCACGCATTTAGGTATTCTACCAATTTGATTAGATCATTTGGAATAGGTTGTCTGGCCTCTCTGCCTAAAAAGCCGGCATGCAAAAGAATTAGAAGGCATACTCGGACAACGTCGACGTCATCCATCCGAGTAAAACCATCTTTATTATTCAAAAATCTTGTCAGGTCTTCTACGTGTAGACTCGGCCTCTCCAGCTCAGGAAAAACCCGGGATAGCCATGATGGGCGGGTAATGTGTCTAGTGTACCGACCTACATCATCGTGTCCGAAGCGTAGACCGGTGATTAAGCAAAACTCCTCCCGCCCAAAACACGTATACGCCGGTGGAAAATCAAACCATATCTCTTCATCACGACGTTGTATAGTCTCTGGTAGATCGCTAGTCATGGTTTGAAGAAACAGGTGTGTCAACATCGCATCTCCACCGGGATGTTGTACTTTCAGCCATGGCCCGAAGCATGTATCCTCAAACATTTTTCTTTGTGCAGGTGAAAGCTTTGACGCAATTGTTTTGGCCAGGCTGACTTTATTTCTCAAGGTCAATTGAGCCGAATAAAAGTTCTACAAAAACAATAAACATACTAAATTAGATATACCAAAAACTACACTGTGAAGATATACCAAAAACAATAATAAACATAAATAGTAGTTTATTCTTCAAACTTAAATATGCAACACTGTGAATTTCGTATTTGTCTTTGTTTTTTGGTTGAAGTAATGCAATTCATTCAAGTTTCAATTTGCAGAAGAAGAATAGTTTCTGAAAATGAAAATCGCAACACGAAAATGACTATCGCAACGAGAGAATCGCAACGCGAAACTAAAATCGCGTTGCGATTTGCATTTCGCGTTGCGATTCTTGGTTGATTTAATAAGCAATCTAAGTGAAATGGTTAATCTATTATTGAAATTACCAGTAAACTTATCATCAATTTCAATATGAAAAACCTAATAATAATGCAAAAATTTCAAAAAGAAAATAATTAAAAAAACTAACCCTCGTTGGTTGATTTGGTTGATTTTCCATTTCTGATTGTGAGGGTGGCTCTGAGAGATGGAGATAGACGGATTTTGCCAGAGATGGGGACGGATTTCGTCGGAGATGGGTGAAAGAGTGAAAGATGGAGATGGGACTGAGTTGTGATTTTAGGTTTTAGGTTATGAGTTGCGATTACGGGATATACTGTGGACAGTTCAGTGTTCCAATATATTAATATTCATGTTTGGAATTTAAAAATAAAATACTTGGCCAGGATACTAATGGCGCTTTGAAAATCGCATTGCGATTATGTATTATCGCGTTGCGAAAGTCAGTATCGCGTTGCGAAAGTAAGTATCTCGTTGCGATTTTTTATTATCGCATTGCGATAGTCAGTATCGCATTGCGATTTTCCCAATTCGCGTTGCGATTTACTTATTCGCATTGCGATTTTCCCAATTCGCGTTGCGATTTACTTATTCGCATTACGAATTGGGAAAATCGCAACGATACTGTAGACCATCGCAACGCGATTTTCAACTATCGCAACGCGATTTTCAACTATCGCATTGCGAAAATGCAACGCGAATTTGCGATAATGGAGATCGCGTTGCGAATTAGCGATCGCATTGCGATTTTGTTGGTCATTTTGGCAAATCCGGAAAAAGTTGGTTAAAATCGTATATTATATGGGATTTTTGGTCACTGAGGTTATTTTCTCATTATAATAATACCCCTCTATATATTATTATATTTCAGTTAAATCCCTATTTTTGTTGAACAAATATAATATTTTTTAATAAATTTATTATTTCAAGAAAGATCGAGTTAGATTCAGATTTTAACTTAAAAAAATAAGTTAGATGAAAGGTGCATAATTTTCGAGTCGAATTTAAATCAAGAAAGGATATATAATTCTTGAGTCATGTCAAATTGATCGAAAACCGACTCATATCCATCTTTAAATAAATAAATAATATAAAAAAACCTAAAACGGCAAAATTCTGGAAAGAATCGTACATATTTGAGACGATAATAGTTGATGCCGAATCTGCTGCATGTGTGTGTCTTCCAATAAAAGAAGAGGTGGTGTACTGTAGGCAGTTGGCTGAATTTTTTTATTAATACGTGATAAATATAAAATAATATTTATTAAAAATAAATTTTAATTTATTAACATTAAACGTTTATATTTGTAGCATCTATGGTGCTCGAACTCGGATCCTCAAAAAACAACAACTCCTTTATCACGGAAGTCACTTGATTCATGCAATTGGTTGAATTTTGTATATATAAATATTTATATTTAATTCAATGATCAATTTAATTTTCTAAAGTATATTTGATTCTTATCAAGGAGGGTGGAAATCATTTTTGAGCAGTTTTCCCATTACCATGTGTACCGTACATTAAATTTTAAAAATAAAGGGAAAATACTTTATCTATAAATAAATAATAATAATGCATACTTATGTCACTGCAGGTATAAAAATAACAAACGTCATAAAGTCATATTACCTTATATCAGCATCTTGATATCATATTCCCAGCGAATTTCCGACACTTTCCCAGTTATATATATAACATAATTGAATAAGAGGACAACCACAAGTGTCCACGTCATCATTGTTTATTTTTGGGCCTGTATATCGTAGCGTTTTTATTAATTAACCTTTGAAGACTGTCCACGTACATATTATATTTATGTGCATAAAATAAAGAAAAAATAGTGATAAAATATTTATTTATTTTTGATAAATCGAAGATGAATATAATGTAATGTTTGTTCAAATAATTTTAACCTTTTGAAAACGAAGGCACGTATTTTTTACATATACGATGTTTGGATACCTATTTAAAAAAAATATTATAGTTTGGACACTTATTTTCTTATTTAAATTTAATATTATAATAAATTATATTTATTATTAATTATTTTATCTTTCAAATTGGATTAATCCACGTCACTGATAAAATCGATTAAATCCGATCATTTCGAAAGATAATAATCAAAATCAAAAGAGAAAACAACCATAACCACTAAAATCATAAGGTGGACAAGACGAATCCCAAGGACAAAATCACCAAAGAAAAAAAAAACCAAGTAGATTCTCTCAAATTTCAGTGTCATCTAGAAGCAGTTGAGTTTTGATCCACTGAATAATGTAATTACAAGGCCAAAGCACTTGCATGTAAATCATCCATTATTGAACATGAAAAACACTGATCCACGGTGCTGGAGAAAAGCCATGCATGCTGACTCACCAACCACCCATTAACTTAATAATGTAGTTTTCATGTCAACTTTTTCTTCTTCTTTTGCAAAATGGGTTTCTCTTTTTTAAGCCGTTGGTTTAGATCGACAGATGGTGTGTCGAGAGAGTATGGACACCGGGTGGGTGCTTTCCAAAGGAACAGTGGTTTGAATTTCAAGTTTAAAATGACGAATAAATGTGACATGATAAGTCTTTATGAACCAATCATTATAGACATTATTTTAAAAAAATAGCAAATTCCAAGAATCGTAATCATCTTCCTACAATTATCTATTTTGTTCTTGAGAAGCAGGTAAAAGGGTGAGATTTAAGAAAATATAAGCTCAAATGTGTTCATTGTACTCATCAGCTCCCTACGAGCTTCTTAAAGCTAGGAATTGCATTTGAGAAATATGCCTTCCCCCCCCTAAAGGCAATAGGCTTCACTAAAATAAATATCAAACAACTGAAAAAAGAAGGAATCGGGGAACAAATTCGATACGAATCATCGTTTTCTTCCTCGATATCCTCAGACAGCAAAAGTTTACATGCAAAACTGCAGGATCAACATTTTCAGAGTTTCACCGTCTACCTCGAAGCTTTAAACCATCGTGGAGTATAGTCATTCTTGGTATTTCAGATTTCAGAAAAAGCAAACAATTTAAATAACTCAGCTTGGTCATGTGAGAAAGGAGAGGAGCGGTCAATGATAAACACACGAATTCGTCAAATTATGGGCCTTCCCGAGCTTGTTACCTCTGAGAATGACAGAACACCTGATTCGCCTGTAGAACTTCGTCTTTACGAGCCTGCCCAAAATGTAGGCCCTTGACCTCATCAACAAATGTCAGGTTAAGAGGCACTGCAATAGTGTTCGGGTGCTCTCTAGAGTTCACCAGAGCCGGTATCACACCATAGAGTGGAACTTGAGACCCTTGCACGATCGTCACCACTTTCCGCTGACTCTTCCGAGATTGCGTGAACTTCTTCATCTTTTGCATACATTAATGACAACAAACATAAACAAAACATCAAAATCTAATGAGTCTTGATTGAGCCTTAGGATTGAGAAACAAAACTGATATATGATAAGGCCCGGACGAGCAGCCGGAGACCAAACGCCCGCCATTAAGGCCCCAACTTAAAAACCATGGAACATTACTATCTATCCTAGGGATGAAACTGTGAACTATGTTTTATTCCAATGTCTGCCTGCAAGACAGCTAAGCAGCAAATAGATTTGTGTCCCTCTTGAAAGGAACACTCATAGGTTTTGTCTGCAAACCAAATGGCGGCATTCAAAACTAAGCTTGAAACAAACGAATAAACCTTTGGTTTCTCTGTGGGGACCCATTGGGACACAAAAGTGGTTCCTTGTTCTCAATAGTTTAACCAAAGCTATCATTTTTAACCCTCCATTTTTAAGTACTAATACACTTTTTTTAGTAGTATGGAGTTATAAATTAATATCTTTTCATAATCTTTCATAGATATCGATAATGCATACATTCTACATATGAAGTTTCTCGAATCTGAATTCTCTAGGGAGAACAATATTACTTTTTTGCTAGTGAGACCATAGATTCTACTAATACACAGATTAGAATGGGAGAAAAAGGATTAATTTTTACCTGTCCAGAGGCAATTTTGAGATGGAAATAGTGAAGGTCCCAATGGGTAGAGGTGACATGGACGGCGTAGAATGTAGCTGGGTTTCTGTATGAGATCGTGACCGTTGAATTTAGTGAGATCATATCTGTGTGCACCCCAGATTCATCACTCCCTGCTTGATATTGAAAGTTATCAAACACCATGTGCTGCTCACAAAATCAATACACGTATACTTTAGGGAATGTTTATTTGTAATGATTATGGTTGAATTAATTAACAAATTATAGCAAAATAAAACTCAAATTAAAGCCCTAGATATCTGTAAATGCCCGAGAAAACTCGTTAACTGTCACTGAGTTGACTCATGTTTTGCTCAGTCAAGATTACAAGGAAAAAAGTTCAGTAACTCTAGTACTCTACAGGCACCCTTGGCCAAAAACGAATCGGATGACAACTGAGTCAACTCAAAGAAGAATCATTTTTTCAAAAATTAAAAAAAAGGTAAAGTATATAAATGGTCACCGAGCTTTTTAGATAATTGCATTTAGATCCCCCAACTTTTAAAACTTGCAATACAATCATCAAACATTTAGTTCGTTTGATATGGTCCCCGACATAACGGCCGTTTCACTGGCGTTAGAGTAAATTATATAAATGGTCACTGAATTGTTTAGGCGCTTGCATTTAGGTCCCCTAACTTTTAAAACTTACAACACAATCATCAATTACATTTTAAACCCCAAATTCCAAAATACTTCAATTACATTCTAAACCTCAAATTCTAAAAATACTTCAATTAGATATCCAACCCCAAACTCATAATACATTCTCAAAATATGCCATAACAAACTGAACTTGAAGCATCAACCTTAAACTCTCAAAACAAAACCCTAAACACTAAATTTCCCCACCAATTAACCCAACATAATCAACAACATTTAGTTCATTTTGGGTCCATAACAATAAGTGATTATGTTGGGTTTAGGATTTAAAAGTTAGATTTAACCAACTATAAGTGAACAATACTCAATTCGATTCGAAAAAAAATATTTTTCGACTTGAATTGATTCAAAATTTTAATACAAATTGACTTTGAGTTGTAATTTCATAAACTCGACTTAAAAAAATTCAAGTTAAAATCGAGTTGTAAAATACAACTCGAATATCTCAAATTTTTTAGTAATTAGTGGATTAATTTTTAAGTTTGGGTCAAGTCCTTTGACTCTGTATGACATATGTATATCACATATGGAAAAAATATGAAGAAATATATGTATTGTATATGGTTAAAAACTTTTTAAATTAGAATCAAATAATATTATAGTATTATAAATATTTATAATTAAATTTAAACAGAAACTCAAAAATTCAATTTAATTCGACTTGATTTAAATTTTATAAACTCAAATCGAAAAAATTCGAGTCAACTATTTTATAAATTGAATTGAGTATTTAGGTCCAACATAACCCTAAACCCAACATAATCATTTATTGATCACTTATAGTTAGTTAAAATTTTTCTAAACGAATATGTTTTGAGGGTTTAAGGTTGCTGTTTTAAGTTCAGTTTGTTATGGCAAATTTTGAGAATGAATTATGAATTTGAGGTTGTACATGTAATTGAAGTATTTTAGAATTTAAGGTTTAGAATGTAATTAAAGTATTTTGGATTTTGGGGTTTAGAATGTAATTTATGGTTATGTTGTAAGTTTTAAAAGTTTGAGGACCTAAATACAAGCGACTAAAAAGTTTAGTGACCATTTATATAATTTATCCTAACGACAGTGAAATATCCGTTAAATCGAGGATCATATTGTAAACGAATTAAATATTTGGTGACTATATTGTAAGTTTTAAAAATTAGAATTTAAATGCAAACATCTGAAACTTTACCAAAAAAATCTATGATTTTAGGCTTGTAACTCCTGCTAGCGCCCAACAAGATCAAAGAGAAGACTGTGAACAGCACGAACAACAATAAAACGAGGCAAAGATAAAGTCTGACTTTATCAGACTTACTCCCATCACGGCCGTCCATTCCCGGGAATGGTGAATGGGGGACGAATGGTAATAATTGTGCGTTGGTGAAGCCGTGGGGCTCGACCCATACGGCATCTTCTGGACATCGGGGTTCGAAGGGCTCCGGACATCGTAAACCGGCCGACGAGATTTCTTTTTCAAAAAAAAAAGGTGGCGTTTTTTCCGACAAAGAAAGTGACAGATAGGGAATGTTAGGAGAGGAAGAAGGGGTTTTGAGCTACGTTTGTTTTGTTTTTTCTTCAAGTTTTGACAGTCGGTATACATGGGAATTGTTCCATTTTTGTCTAATGGTTTCCATGTTTGTGTTCTTCCTGTAATAAATATGGAGAGAGAGAAATGGGCAAAAATGAAAGAAAAATGGCAGGCTGGGCTTACCTCGCTAATTATATTGACCCACAACGGCTATTAATTAACCGTGGTTTCGATAAATTAATGTATAAATTCTCTCGGATATATCATTGCCATGGACCGTTACTTCTTAATGTATACAACTTCTCTCGGATATGCCCTTTTAAATAGAATTTGATAAATTTGATCTGTATTCGATTATTTAAAATGATTTATTTCATGAAAATTTTATATAAATTCGAATAAAATTATTTAAAATTAATTCTAAATCAGAAAAAATATGAATTGAACCGAAATTGATTCTAATTTTAGTTGGATCAAAATTAACTCGAATTAAAAGTAATTTAAATTTAATTTACTCATATCCGATCCGAATTCAACTTTGACCGATAATTATGTACAAGTGAATGAATGAATAATTTATTCATTTATTATCTATTTTTAGTATTGATAATAAATCAATCACTCGTAACATAATGTAGATGTGATGTGTTAAACTAGTTGTCCTAACATGTTTTGATCATGCAGTATATTCTTTGACTGGAGATAAAGACAAGACTGATCTATGAGGAAATAAATTGTTTCTTTAAAATAAATAAGATCCTAAAAGTAATTAAGTCAAAAAAACGAGAGATTAAAAGTTTAATTTTACTAATTTTATTAATTTTAAAATTGGTAATGTCCTAAAATATTATACTAAATTTTTTTAAGAAAATGACCTAATTATCAGTAGTATTCGATATATTGACCGATTAATCTAGATCGAATACGACAGAGGCGAGGGTGACCCTCCTAACCTAATTTGCTCCATTCGCAAAAGCCAAGATTCAAACTTCTGACCTTGTTTAAGGGACCTAGTGCCTCATTCCACTAGACCAACTAGTTGTTGGTAATTACAAATGGTTTTAAAACTACTAACAAATTAAAATGTAATTAGATCATCAAAGTTTAGAGAGTTGCACTTATGAGTACATCTCTACCTATGATGGACCGTTTAATTCTCTTCTCTTATTTTACTTTCTCCGTCGTCTGTTTTGCTTATCTTCTCCGTCATCAAACTTGAATATAATTCTGTATAATCCTTAGTGTTTCGAGTTTAAATTCTACCATGCGCATTTTTAGGCATGCATGGGCTCGAGTCCTCTCTTTGGTGTGAATTATTTTGTTTAAATCCTATGAATAAGTCTTCTATATTACCTTGCCCTATTTGAAGACATTTTTATGACAAGAAAACTATAGGGTAAACTACGCATTTAGTATATAAACTATCAATTTTGATTGATTTTAGTACCTAAACTTTCAATTTACCTAACATTTAGTTTTCATTTCATTTTAGTATCCCGCCGTTAAAAACTCAATGCGTTTAGCGCCTAAACTATTAATTTTAGTTCGTTTTAATATCTAAATTTTCAATCTTTTTTCAAAATTTAACGTTAAATTTTGAATGATGGTACTAAAATGAAACAAAAATTAAAGTTTTTAACAATAAAGTACTAAAATGAAACAAAAACTAAACTTTAAGTATAATTTTTTTAAAATTAAAAATTTAAATACTAAAACAGAACAAAACTGATCATTTAGATACTAAACTCATAATTTACCAAAATATTATAATCCGAGATGCGAAGGGTCGTAGATGTTGAAATTCAAACTTAACACATACTCTCGAGAAACATGAAACTATAAAAGAAAATGATATGTGGGAAAAGGCCAATGAGTTCAACGAAATATGCCTCCTCGTTTCTATCATACCACAGAAAAAGCCAATGAAGAAAACGTAAGAAACAGCTTATAAAGGCAAAAGGTTCATCCCTGCATCGGAGTTCTATATTCCGACTGATACCATATAAGACAGCTAAATCTCATTGTACCTACGGCAATTCCTATCATGTTCTATGTCGAGAGGATTCGTCTTCGTTGTCTTGGCATTGGTCATCGCCGTTCTTCGATTTATGAATACGGAGGTGCCGGCCATTTTCATACTAGGAGATTCTACTGTTGATGTCGGAACCAACAATTACTTGCCTGATAGTAATATCACGGCTAACTTCCCACACAACGGGGTCGACTTTCATTTAAGGAGAGCAACCTGCAGATTCAGCAATGGCCTAAATACTGCAGATTTCCTTGGTTAGTATCACACTATGTGCATGGTGTTCCTCAAATTCTGATGGTTAATGGCCATCTTGACTGATGTTTTTCATTTTCAGCTAAATTCTTTGGTTTCAAGAGAAGCCCCCTGAGTTTTCTTGCTTCAACGTGACATATGGTATTAAGAAACGTAAGTTCAGAGGTGCAAACTTTGCATCGGCAGGATCTGGTCTTCTCGACGTAACCGGACAACCACTGGTAAGACCTCCGAGTTTCTCACGATTTATTCTCAATTTCTTGTTGATTAACATTAACCGTGTTGATTTCATAGGGCCCGAAAACGTACGTTGTCTCAATGGGGCAGCAGGTATACCAATTCTCTATAGTCTGCAATGATCTTTTGGCAATCAAAGGTCAACCAGAAACAGAAGAGTTTCTCTCATAGTCTGTTCATCAGCGTTGGTAGCAATGAAATTATGGGGAATTACCATTCTAACTATCCAATTCCGAAAGAACAGTTCATACCCAAATTAGCACTCGTGTATGAAAAGCACGTGAGGGTGAGAATTCAATGCTCTGGTTTTTCCTTAATACAAGAGATGATCACAGAATGGAAAATGATGCTCTGGTTTTTCCTTAATACAAGAGATGATCACAGAATGGAAAATGAATAGCAAATGCTTGCCCGTTTTCGA